TAATTGATCTCGTCCGTCCGATCAATCTAAGGAGGAAACAAATTTAGATCGTTCATCGCGATTGATTTCGTCCGTCCGATCGCGCTAAGGAGGGAATAAATATGAGTCATTCACTCTCGCAGGATTGAACTTGGACCGTCGGATCACTAGGCACGCGGATCGCCCATGTAGCCTCCTGCATGGTGCCGACGTCAGCGTGTTTTGACATGCAACGTGTTCCGGTTCGTCGGGACTGCTGACTGGGTTATCCCACATAGTCGAATTTTTTTTTTTTGCACTTTAACTCCCTGTTTTTAATTTTTCTTTTAAAGATGGGCCACTGACCTCAAATTTTCACTCTTTTTCTCCAAAATTATTTTCAATCTCGTCCCTAATTCATTTTTTTCTAAAAAATTCAATAAAATAAAACTCAAATAAATTAATTAATTTTTTTAATTTCATAATTTCATAAGAAAAATTTATTCTAAACCATTTTTCGAGCCTGATTATTAGAACTCTCCCCCTTTAAGAAAAAGTTGGTCTATCAAATTGGTCACTTTCTCACTCAGTCAAACAGCTGGGGGTACTGAGCCTTAAAGCTTGATCCTAGTTCCCAAGTGGCCTCTTCCTGCATATGGTTCTATCATAGGAGCTTGACGAAGCGGATTTTTCGGTTGCGAAGTACTCTACTATTTCGGTCTACAATGCCTATCGGCAGCTTTTCATAGGATAGATCACCCTGGAGTGAAAGGGGCTTGTGGGACAGGATGTGTGAAGGGTCCATGCTGTACTTGCGTAGCATGGATACATTGAACATATTATGAACGCTGGATAGTTGTAGAAGTAGCGCCAGTCTGTAAACAATCATACCAATCCGGTCTAAGATCTCAAATGGTCTGATGAACTGGAGATTTAATTTCCTCCTCTTCCCAAACCTACTAATACCCTTGAAAAAGATGATCTTAAGAAATACTCGATTACCTTTTTCAAATTCTGAATCCCTCCTTCGGGTGTCTGCATAATTCTTTTACCTACTCTGAACTGTCCAGATATTCTTCGTGATCTTAACTATCTTAGCTGTAGTCTCTTTCATAACATCTAAATTGAATAACTTTCTATCATCCACCTCTTCCCAACATATTTGTGACCTGCAGGAGTGGTCATAAAATGTCTTGTACGGAGCCATGCTGATACTTGTCTAGTAGCTCTTATTGTATGTGAACTCTATCAAATATAGATGATTGTCCCAATGGCCTCCGAAGTCTAGAACACAGGCTCGGAGCATATCCTCTAGTGTACAAATCGTCCTCTCTGATTGTCCATCAGTTTGAGGATGAAATGTGGTACTAAGAGACAGTTTCATTCCCATAGCTTGCTGAAAACTACACCAAAATCGAGAAATAAACCTAGGATCTCTGTTGGATACCACTATCAGTGGAACTCTATGTAACTTGACTATCTTACAGATATACATTCTTACTAACTTATCCAATGGGTCAGTCATCTTGATAGCCAAAAAGTGAAAAGACTTGGTGAACCAATCGACAATTACCCAAATGACATCATGTTCTGAGCGTGCTTTAGGCAACCCTGTCACAAAAGTCTGAATTTACTCCCTGTTCTGTATCCTTCCTGAGAGTTGTTAGGGTAAAATTAGTGGATTGAGCTTCTTTTATTCTCTAAATGAATTCAGATGAACAGTCAGGTGGACCAAACATGTAACTTTCTTTAAGTTCTGAAGTTGTATATGTTGTGCGGCCCCTATTACCCTGCATTCAGAAACTATTAGGTAAGTTAACATACCTGTACTTTTTCTACTAAATGTATCGGCTACCACATTGCTCTTACCTGGATGATACAAAATATTACAATCGTAGTCCTTGAGGAGCTCTATCCAATTCCTCTGATGCATGTTGAGATCCTTCTGAGTGAATATGCGCTTCAAGCTCTTATAGTTAGTATAAATCTCAGAAGTCTCCTCATACAGGTAGTGGCGCTAGGTTTTCAAGGTGTGAATAATGGCGATAAGTTTTAAGTCGTAGGTAGGGTAGTTTTTCTCATGACTCTTCAACTGTCTTGACCCATAGGATCTGATATTCCCATGCTGGATCAGAACACAACCCAACCCTAGGTAGGAGGTATCACTATAAACTGTATATCCACCTGTCCCACTCGGTAAGGCTAACACGAGTGCAGTAGTCAATCACTTTTTGAGTTCTGTAAAGCTCCTTTCGCAATGCTTGTTCCATTCAAACTTGACGTTCTTCTTTGTGAGCCGGGTCAAATGAGCGGTTAGGCTAGAAAATTATTTCACAAACCTATGATAATAATATGCCTTTTTCATAAACTTACAAATCTCCTTGATCGAGGTCAATTTCTCCCTAACAAGTACTGCCTCAACTTTTTTTAGGTTCACTGATACTTCATCCATTGATATAATGTACCCTAACAAGGTAGTCTACTCGACCCAGAACCTACACTTACTTAATTTTGCATACAATTTTTTCTTTCTAAGAACCTGCAAAATCTGAGTTAGGTGGTGAACGTGTTCTTCTCTGCTTTTGAATAAACTAAGATATCATCGATAAATATAATGACGAACTAATCCAATAATTGTCTGAAAACCTTGTTCATTAAGTCCATAAAAATAGTTAGTGCGTTGGTTAGTTTAAATGATATGATCATGAACTCATACTATCCGTACCTTATTCTAAAGGCTATCTTGAGAATGTCCTCTGCCTTAAATTTTACCTAATGATAACTTGAACGCAAGTCTATCTTAGAGAAAATATGTGTATCATATAACTAGTCAAAAAGGTCATCAATTTTGGGGAGGGGGTACTTGTTTTGATTGTGACTTTGTTCAATCCCCTATAGTCGATGCATAGTCTCAAGGTCCTATCTCCTTTCTTTGCAAACGTGACTCAGCACCATAAGGAGATACACTGTGTTGGATGAACCTACTATTCTGTAATTTCTTGATCTGTTCTTTCAGTTCTTCCATCTCTACACGACTCATGCAGTAAGAAAAATTGAGATAGGCTGGGTGTCAGGCTGAAGGTCTATAGTGAACTAAATTTTTCTGTCCACTAGCAATTCGGGTAGTTTATCAGGGAACACATTCAGAAATTCTCAGACCACAGGGATTTCTTGAATGTAAATTTTTTCTTAGGTTTGCCATGTATCACGTCCAAGTTGCCTTTAGCATCTTGTTAGGTGAGGGTATAAACTATGCACTAGACTGGAGGTTTAGCCTAATTTTTTATTCTGCAGACACTCTCTCGCATAGTATTGGGCACTTCTATGGATGCAGCAAGTGTTGTTGAAGTGATAGTAGGGTCAGTCCCCATGATTCTCACCGCAATGCTAGCAAGTCCTACTGTGTTCTGTTGAAGAGGAACCAGATTATGCTGGAGAGGGACCAGGTGACCTTGTGGTGGCACTTGGTCATATAGTGGGGCATTATATTGTATTGTGGCAGTGCCGGATGATACAGTGGAGGGGCAGGGTTGTATCGAGGTGGCACTAGATCCTCTCGTTCTAGAGGTGACTCATATAGTGGCAATGGTGGAGGGTCAAACAGTTCTCTCCTCTCTTTCATGGCTTGCTGGGAAGAGATAAGTCTCTCTAACATCTCGAAGAGCCGATGGACATCCACTCAAAGCAACCCATCTCGGGCTGCCCTGTTCAGTGGGGGTCCTCATCTCATCACGTTCTTGTACTTATTTTTCACAACAAAGAGTTAAGAGTCGGGTTATAGTTAAATGTTTCAAATATTTGTGTAATGAATAGTTCCAAGGAACGTGGCTCTAATACCAACTGTAAAGGTCCGAAACCTTAAAAAAAATAAATTTATAATTTAAATGCGAAAGCGAATAATAAAGTTAGGATTTACATTCATTATACAATAATTTAGAATGCCCAATAGAGTTACGGAAAAGTTCCTTCTAAAAGTCAAACAGTAATTAAAAAAAAGTAAATAAATAATAATCATAGAAAACCTTCACTGGCACTTGAAGGGAGTCTAAGTGGTAAACTACTCACAACCCTCTTACTGATCAGAATCTAGATCTTAGTCTTTTTGATCTGAAATAGTTAATGAAAGGGTGAGCTATACTAGTCCAGTAAGAATATTACACTAATCACATATACAAAAAACTGAAGATTGGTAAAAATAAGAAAAAATAGCTAAGGGAGCCCTTGCTTTAATTGAATGCATTTAACTTAAAGACGTTTGTTTGATACTTACCGTAAAGTATTTTTTAAAAAATAATCTATGAAAACCCATATCCATACCACTTTTCATTTTCACGCATGATAGAACAAAAGACAATAATTTTCTTTTCTTACTTGCTTACTGGTACCCCTGGGGGTCCATAAGGATGTCTTCCTACTTGTGAACTCAATATTAAAGTTTAACAATTAACCGACTGTCTCCATATCCCGTCCGGTAATGGGCGCGAAATATTTTATCGTCTCGAAGCCCCGTTTGGTATGAGGGTGAACCATATCTTCCAAACTTTTTTGGTATGGGGCTTCCTAGCCCCGTCTGATTGAGGTGACGTTCACGGTACGGTTCCTTATGTACCGGGCTCGTCTGCCCTTTTCTTGGGTACCTATTAAGTTTTTCACATAAAAATTTTCATCAAGTAAAACAACTAATAAACGGATACCAATATCTCATATTATATTTACAAATCAATTAGACGATATTTATACAAACGGTATAACTTATCATAACAAGGGATCGAGTAACCAGATAACCGAATAAACCAAGTAAATTGATAAGACTATTGAAACTATAAATTAAGAACATGCACAATACAATAACAAGCAAGTAGGACAGTACAAGAAAGTAAGCAGGAAATCAGGATAATTGTGAACTAATCGATTCCGCCTCCACTAGTGACATGTAATTATTTTTTTAGAGTTTTCTAATTTTCACAAAAATACAAAATTATACATCGTTAAGCCTCAATTTACTATAATGGAAAATAGAGTGAGAGATGTTTACCCGGATCGGTATTTCGAGATG